CTGTGACAATCGATGAATGACTCTTAAGAGCACATTATTATATATTCCGACATATATAACTTGGAGCCAGAGCCACGCCTTGACACTTTTCTTCTCACTGTTTCCTTTCTAATCTTCTCTACCAAAGAACACTCAGTTCTATGATCCAATACCCTATTCTTTGATTTCAATTTTTATTTAAATACTTCATCTTATCGGTCAACGATCTTGATGATTGATTTTAAAATATTTACATCTGTTTGATATTGATAATAAAATTGAGGATAATGAACCTGGCATTCTGTCAATTTCTGCTGCTACTGGAAACTATTATTATCACCATCATGGGAATACATCAGCAACCATGTGGCTAACATCCGGGAAATCCTGAATGAGCTTTCAAGTGAGTCTATGCCATATTGTGCTTTGCCCGGAAAGTGAGAAAATCACTTAAAATAAGCAGGTTAGATTTAAACTTTGATGAGTAAAAATAAATGATATATTTAAATTTTTGGAATTGTTGTTAAAAACATGTTTATTGTTTTGACATGAACAAAAGAAATGCTTCCTGATAGATAGCTGAGTATGAAAATATTTAGCAAAAAGAATTCAATGATTTATGTGTTTGCAAAGGAAATAAATCGAATGAATGACAGATATATTCATTTATGCTTTGCTGAATAAAAATGAGCATTTTATTCATATACTCTTCATTTATGATGTTGAAGAACGTTTTTAGACTACAAGTTTATGATTAATCAAGGCCATTTAAGTTAAAAATCTTATCATCTTAAATTAATACCTTCAGAAGAAGAAAAAAATCATGATTGTGGTCTCTAATGTTTTGGAAGCTTGTAACTTCCGCATTTTGAACAACAGTAAACATCCTCTGGTGAGTTATGAAGCTGCAAGAATTTCCTCTTCCACCCATCTTCGTCGCACGTTATCTTGACAGATCAGGAGTCTCGATGGCGCGTCGAACACGCCCCGAGGGACGACTTCAATTAAACTGCAATCCTGGAGTGCGGTAAATGTAGAAGAAAAATGAACAAAACTAAATCGAAAGAGTAAACAGATTATAGAGGATTATATTAAAATGTGTATAATTTAATTAGACATCTTCAATATCAAAACTTGCTTTTAGCTATCATTATATACAGCAGTACTGAAATGAGGTGAAAAGCATAATTATATTCATATCCACTTCACAAAGCATATCTTGATAGTTGAAGTGAATCTTAATATGAAATGTTTATAGCAGAGAAGTCTGAAAGATCATGATGATCAGTGAGCAGGTCGAGGGTGGACGCCCTACAAAGTTGAATCCTATAAAATTAATTCATTTGAGAGCAAAGGAAGGCGCCTCTTTGCCGGCAACTGTACTATTTGATATTTGCTTGGAATGAAGTTATAATAATAGCAATGGAATGACAATTCATGTCCTCATACCATTTATATTTTTGATGTATTTATTTAACGCCTCGCTCCATGACTTTCATTCTCTTTTCATTCATTCTAGCATCTATTAGTCAAGATGCTAAATCATGACTATCTATTATTTTATCATTGTATTTCAATTAAATTTCTACTTATTTCAATATCGTGATCAGAACAATCATTCTTGGAGGAAAAAATTTACTTTGCTTGCAATTTTTTTCATTGTCATGATTTATGTGAAGCTAGTAATGGAAAAAAAATCGTCTAATTGACGATAATAAAATAGAATTGGTTTTTTTTTTCTTATTCATTTCATTATTTTATTGCAACGCAGAAGCTATGAATTACTATGATCAGCAGCTTAAATGCTTCCTAGATGTAGTTAGCTGGAAAGATGAATTAATAAATCTTGATTAAAGATAGATATTTATGACAAACAATGAAACTAGAACGAACGTAAGATAATATGTTATATATATATGATATTAAAAATAAAATGCTTTTAGCTTAGAAAAACTTGGAAAAATTTCTATAAATATATTTTTAAAACAAAAATCCATTGCTCAGTATTTTTCTAGGGTTAGGCTGGAAACACACAAAGAATCTTTCCTATCAAGTTTCCACTTAGAAACCCTAGATCAAAAATCTGCAGAAAAACAAAGCACAGTTAACTGTTTAGAGATCATAGTATTATTTAAACTCTAATGTTTTATTATTTTTCTTCTCACTGATGAGCTCAAGTAAATTAGCTCACGATAAAATTACGTGTAATTGGTCTTGGATTACATGTTCTGTCTAAAGAACTATTATCGAGAAATTGATGAATCATTAAAAGAATCGTTGGCGCGCACAACAATTTTCTGACTCTCCACTTAAATGTATTAAATAATACAATGAAAAATGTTCAATCTCATTAAGAGTTACAAGGGTCCAATTCAGCGTAAAAAAAACTATTTAAATGACATCAAGGTCAATTGTTTAAATCTCATTTTAGTTCAACCTTTTGAAGAATAAAAGTTTTATATTTTGATTAGACCAAGAAATCAGTTGCATAAGATCCTGATTAGGGTTTGATTCCTGCTGAGTTTGAGTTGAAAACGAGTATTTTTTATCATCATTTTATGGAATTCTCTCAATAGCAAGGCTGTCTTGAGTCTGGTTGCTATTTATTCTGTCAATCTTTTTCAATAGCACGTCATTTTCCGTAAACGACTCTAATTAAAAATGAATAGAAAATAGTTCTGAGTTATAATTAATATTCAAGTTTCCAAAGAATCTTTCATAATTGATTTAAATAAATCTTTGAAGAATTAAATATATCTTATTCTTCAATTTCAACATTGTATAGAATTTTAACAATGGTTGAATTAATTATTAAATTATTTTCATTGTCCGTAAAAATTTATTCTGTTAACCTTTTTAATATGTCATGCTTTTGCATAAACAATTGTCAAAGCACAAAAAATTCATTATCAACTTTTTATTAATTATTATAACGTTGTTTACATTTTTAATAACACCCAACACATGATATAAATAATTCAATAAAAAAAAACAAGACTGGTATTTTTTATTTTCAATTAATTTTAGTTTCAATGATGATGGTAAATATGAGTGCATATTAATGAATCATTTCTTATTTTGCATTTTCTTATTGTTCCATATTATTGTTTCTGGCGCCATATCATTGGTCCATGAGTCATATAAGAGTTAGACAATGTAATAATAAAAGTGTAGTTGAAAATTAAATAAGTGCCTCTTTTATATTACAGTAATTAGTTCATATTCGGTTGAGATGAGAAGCAATAGAACGTGGTCGGTTATTTCAAAGGGAAAAAATTAATCTCCAGCAACAACTGGTCGATTGTAAGTTCATTGGACGAATCGATAGACATACACATGTGGATCTCTTGTAATCACTATGGTCAATGTAATAAAGTGTGACTTATTCATCAGACAGATAAGATATTATCTGCATCAAGAGACTTACTTTGTTTATATTCTGCATTTTCTGCTATTGGCATATTATAAATTACAATTGTGCGAAAGGCATTATGTAAAATTTATTCATATTATTTACACAACGTACCATGATATATGTCGAATCATGTTAGTAATCGTATTTAACCAGTCAAGTTGAGAATTCATCATCCAGCGTGTAACCCTGACCTAAGACTCGAAACTCGCGTGATATCAGTCTCAAACTGAAAGGCCATTTCTCTTGAAATCGCAAGATTAATTAATTTTTTTTTATCACAACTTCCCACTGATAAAATGCTCTAAATTAATTTATACCATATTTTTAGATCTCGTACTTAACTTTTTTTAGACATTTTTTTTTCCACAAACATTTCATGAAAATTGTCGATTATTTTTCAAATAAATTTCACTTATAATACAAAAGACACGATTCAATGTAAATGTGTTATTCGGTCCTTGACGCTTAGTCGGAGCTGTCAGCATAATAACCATACCTGCACGTAGTGCACATCGTAAGTGGTTATTGAATATATGCACTGTAGGAGCAATATAGTAAAGTTGACTGCTGGTTGCTCTAAAGTGGGCAGTTCTCGTAACGTGCTAAGACACTGCAATGATAGTTTATATTTCCTTTGGACTATCATTCTTGGAAGGCGGTTACGATCAAGGAAGCAACTCGATGCAACTCAAATTGACATCCGGGCGATCGCATATCTCTCCGGAAGCCCATCCTTCATCAGCTGCCTTTGACAACCAATTTTTTAGTGTCAATGTCATCTAAAAAAAAACATCACTTTAGTATGATATCCAATGAAAAAAGGCATCAAATTAACCAGCTTATCTTTCTTAAATGAAATCAATAATATTTTTGGAACAATCTTTGTAGTATGAAAGTGACGTTTCTTGTTTAAATCTCAGATTATGGGCAGAAAACTTTGGCGGCAAGGTGTTTCAGGAGTTACGTATTTAGTGAATGCGCTTAGCTGACTGTAATAAAGATTAATGGTGCAGAAAATGTCGAGGTGATGTTGGTAGTATGTGAGTGGTAAGATAGAGAGGATTTACGAGAGCTTCTTCATCTTTTACTAGGAAGAGAAATCTGTAGGTATAGAATAGCCCGTCGAAAAAAGTCGACGAAAGACATTCTTTTAATCCACCCTGAGGCGAATTAAATGATTCGATATTCGAGCTACAACTTTCTGCTAATTCTTCTCAGGCTTCTCAGATGTCACAAGTCAAGGATACAATAATTTCTCAAGGTTCAATTGAACTTTCATTTATTTCTGTTTGGACATCATAAATTAGTTTACATTAATGAAATAATCAGCATTGCTTCAGGCTTGAACTAATCATTCTAGTTTCTGGATCATCAGAGAAGCAAAAAAAAATAGATTCTAGTCAATTACATATAATCGCAAGTTAAGATAACGGATAACCTAATGAAAGTAATCTAACAGTTATTTATAGCAGCTTCTGAATATTTTTCTTAGCTTGTATGATCTACTATGCATGTAAAAATTATTTCCACTATTATTAAGAAATAATTAGATAATCACCTAGTAAATCAGCTAGAAATTGGCTTAATTTAATTCAATTTTCTTTAGTTTCAGATCTCGAGGAGCAAACAGATAATTTATCATGGAAGGATGAGATCCAGTCTAATTTTAAGGGTGATATTGAGTATGTGAGGCCTTTGAAAATTAGTCGGAATCAATATGAAGATCCTCGTAAGTTGAGTCTATTGTCTACTGGTTGTAAGAGAGAAGAAAGAATGAATGAATTTAACATTCAGTGACTGAAACGGAATGGATGGATAATTATACTATCAATTGTCTTGTTGTGAGTTATCGCATCCAGGAAGTACTTAATCGTTGATATTATCGATCTAATCAATTGTCATTTGTTATTCATCGATGAAGATTTAAATCGCCAACATGTGTTTATTACTAACTCGGAGTAGTATTTAGTAATATAACTTATAGAGTTAAAATTTAATTCTGTATCAGTTATGATAAACTGTTCCAGTTGATAATATGATGTGTTGTCTTAAAACCAATTTATAGTATTTTAAGTCGCTTATTTATTATATCATTTAGAAAATATTAGTGCTTTAGAAGAATACTGGTTTCTTTGGTTTTTATTTTCACTCAATGATTCATTAAAAATTTTATTTCACATTAGTGATGATAATATGGTAACTGATGAGCGTTTTTTTGTCAACAGCTACTGAATCTACCAGCTCCAAACGTCATCACACTGGTCACTTTAGGCATTCTAAGGCTGAAGTTTGGGATCCACATCCACAATATGAATTTACGGCTTTTGGAAAGCGGTTTCGACTTAGGCTTAGCCATGACAACAGTTTTATTTCTCAGAATATCAAGGTAAAACAAGTAGATATGTATTTTTTCAAGAATTTATTAAATCATGATTTTTTTAATGTGCGATTCTGTGGATAATCAATGTCAGATGAAGAGTTAAAAATATCTGTATATTCAGGTGACGCATGTAAGTCAAAACAAAACCAAGTGGGAGCATCCAGGTCACCAGCTGGGATGTTACTACAGTGGTGTCGTTGATGGTGACCCCAAATCTGTCGTTTCTGTCAGTCTCTGTCAAGGGATGGTGAGTGATTAATTTGCTATTCATTACAAGAAAATAATCAAACGTCACAGACATTTTTCAACTGAATAGATACAATGGATTATTTTCTCAGTCAGTAAACTTTAAATTAATCGTAATTCAAAGATTATCATTATTTATGGTGTGATTAAACAATCACTTGTATTTATTTTTTCTTTAGTCATTTTGCAATCAAATTAACAAGGGATTTAATTTATCACTTCTTGATCGTTATCACTTTCAATGAAAGTTAAATTTTATTATCAAGATGGGACGATTCGCGCAGATCATTTTTTAAATGAATGTCGTCGTCCTGGTGGCCTTCCTTCATGTATTGGCTCTACCATTCCGGGCGTGTGCACAGGAGAAATATCCGATAACATAACGCACATCTACACATACGTTTGTTCGAGTATATCCTATCAGAGACGAATCGTAATTATGCTAATCTACCCAAGTATCCACACCAACTTCAACAGAAGACACGAGCAGAGTAGAAGGACATCGATTGAAACACGGTCACGATTTTCACTCACATTTATTCAGACTAAAATTAATCGAATGTTTTCATCATATCTTCAATGAAGTCTTATTTAGTCTAAGAATGGAAAAAAAATTCATTGCAAATACAAATCAAAATTAGCAATAGTGATTGAGAATTGTCAGAGATTTGTTCTAAAAATAATTCTATTGAGTATTCACTGAGTATAAAGTTTAATATATTATTTTACGATGACGAAATACCGTACGCAAGTCGAATAGATTGAATTATAGACTTCCGTCCCAAGTGTCTGGTGCATAGAAATTACAAAATATTTTTCATCAATTGTTCATTGATATCTTAATATAGCTGATGACGTCTAGATTTAGTGCTACGAGGACTTTTGAAACACGACGTTGAATTTCCTCTTCAGTAAACCCTAAGATGAAGCTAATATTCAGAAATTAATCTTGAGATGAAAAACATGGAAATCAAACTAAACAACAGACAAGAACATACCCTTTCACTTGAGAGATCTGTTGGAGAAGTTTGTTTTTTGGCTCATCGCCAAGGGAAATGCAGTATCATAACTGCAGTTAATAGACACTATTTCGCAGAACGAGAGAACTGTAATGCCTATGAGAAATGACATTCCCAAGAAAAAGGATGCATACGCACCTGCTTTACTGCGCATGAAATTACTCAGTAATTCAAGGTCATCTTCTCTTCTGAACAATACCGATGTATTTATTTTTTATGAATATTTTACAATCAGACAATTAATTAATTGCACACAATTATGAAGTATCACTTTTTCAATCATCATTTAATACTTGAGGAAAATATTAACATCACACATTCAAAGAATTATTTTTTGTTGGAGAATAACAATTATTAATTTTAACGCCTCATAACAATCAGTTAATTTTGTTGCATTACTCAATTAGCATCCTTATTTATCTTCACATATTGAAAAAAAAAAAGTTCTTCGTTTTTTATTTTTATCAGTTGTCTTTTTTATCTAAACTCTTATCAATGTATTTCATGGTTATAAATTTATTTAGGAGTTGATTGTTTAATTTATTATCAAATTATAATTCTAGTCTCTTCCAAAAATTATCATTTGTTATTGAGACTGCTAATTAATTCGTATCATAATGAGGTTGATTAATTGAATAATACAAGTTGTAAAAAATTACATCACTAGACAATCAAGGAAATTCTTGAAAAACTGATAGTTTTCAAAGTCCTTGCAATTTATTATCAAAAAAGAAGCCATCTATTTCAATTTGTACTTATCTCATATAAACATTACAGTATTATCGTTTGCTTTTATCGAGAAAAGCGTCGTAAAGTTTGGTATACCCGAAGGAACTATTTTCGACCCGGAGGTCATAAGATTTTAGAGCCAGTTGCGAATAAATTTATGTCGAGTATCTTCTTCTGGACATTGATGACCTTGTTTCAATAGCTGAAACTGCAATTCTACCATTGGTGCATTTTGAGTCACCTTTTGATTCTAGAGAAGCTTGTAAAGTATCTTATAAACTGCCATTCAATTTGTTGTTTCAACAAGTAAAGTCTCCAACCATAGAGCGAGAAAAACTTGAAAAAAAGATAGCGAGAAGAGTAAAAAAAAATGCAGACCAGACCAGTCGACGACTCTGTAGCGATCTGAAAATAGTTACAGTTCAAGGTTTCATCATACAAAATCATATGGACAGTCAGATCTTTTTTTTTTGCTCATACTTTGTTACATCCGGTATCAAACACTTCTATTCTACTTCCATAAATCGTACTGTCCAGACGTGAGGACGCCGTGCACGTTGAAAAGCCTTAGCTTCTCGCCTTGTCGATTCCGATTGTAGAAGGGAGATAATAGGACCCTCTACTCAGAGACTTGGTGGCTTCGAGAGAATCGTTGTCCAACTCGTCAAAGTCGATAGAAGAGAATATGGCAGTCAACCAGACGCCGCTGTTCGCTAGTGTGGAAACAGAGGTAGATAGGAATCTCCTGATATAAATCTTTTTTCTCTTTTCAGTCTGTTATGAGGGGTGACGATGATGAAAAGTGGCCTTTTCATATTCCAGCCACTTTCGCTGATCAGCCACAGCTATATAGCGAATTATCTCGCTTTTGGATTGCTTTGATAAATTTTACTTCATCAAGACTTGTGATTTATTTCTATGAGAATTTATGGAGACAGCAATTACATTAAATGGAAATATTAGTTGATTGAAAAATGTTGTTTTCGATTGTTGCAGTGTAAATTCAATTACTAAATAGTGCTGACGCTGAAGAATATATTGCTTTTTTAATCTGTAAATTACTTTATCGATTCAAAGAATTTTTAATTCAAAAAGAATTAATATAATAAATTGATTTAGCATCCTGGATGTTGAAGAAGTGTAATAGAATACAAGAAAGACTTGAATGCAAAATAATTCATATGGAATTTGAGAGTTCAATCAACTCTAATTCTTCATGATCAATTTTCCTGGACAACGTGGAGTGTAATTAAAAATAGCAAGCCCGAAACTGATCTTTGAAGTCAAGTATTATGAAGAGGGTCTTTTAATTATGGAGAGTCTCTAAGGTTTAAAGAGACCTGGTGTTCTCCAAACCACTTTCACTTATTATATTCTTTGATTTTTAGTTGTTAAAAAAATCTCTTGCACTTGTATGTAGATAACTTGTTCAAGGCAACATGAGATAATTCTGAAAAAAATATTTATGGACTATTAAATTGTTTTAATCTCTTCAAGGTACTCTTTTAGCATATTCTTATATTCTTCTAAATATAAGGTATCTTTGTATTTGGATAATAGGCCATTCGAGTCGATAGAATAAACTGAATAAGGACAATTTAAACATTCACTTTAAAAATAATGTGCAGTCAATATGGTTGGTTATATTTTTGAAAATACCTTCTTGGAAGTTTGCTTATGTTCTCGTCGATTGTATCGAATCGGTCAGGGAGGCATTAAAGAATTTCTATGCATTCATTTCATGACGAAATTTATTCAATCCCCAAGTCGCGCAAGTTTTGTATGGAAGAGTCGTTTGGAAATTTGTGTGGAATTTGTGAGGAATCTGAAAAAAAATATGTCAACCATTCATTTCCTACTTTTATGGTAATTGTTTCTTTGTAAATTATTTAACGAATTTCTTTCAAGTGTTACCCAAAAATTTTTCTCCAGAAATTGTGTAAGATCACGAAGAAAGTATTAATCAGTTTGCAAAAGATTTTTGGCGGAATCATAAAGATTAGAAAATAGGTGAAGGTCTTTGATCTGACCACGTGTACTACAGAAAATGGATGAGAAGTGTTAAAGAAATATTACTAAGTAAATATACATAGTATAACTCATCATAGTTTGCTAATATATTCATCAGTAGCAAACCTAGGCGTCGAGATGATTCGTGTAGAGAAGATTGAATTTCTTTCCAAATATTTCCTAAAACTATCGAATTTTTTTCTAGAGTCTAAGCACTGAATCAGTAGGCAAGTCTCGTTCAGCAAGGAATCTCCATTCCCAAAAGCATGACATCATACATTTTTTTTTTCTACACTCACACATAAAAAAACTTACAAAGATGACGAGACGATCTTGTTCAAGCTGTCTAGAAAGTAATGTCATGATTTACGAGTGTTCGCGTGGGAGTGATGTAAAGTAAAGCTACTAATTGTTGATCCTGGACATAAGATCTTTTTTTGCTATTCATCATCTCTTTTTACTTATAACTGTTGATTAAGTAGTTAAGTAAATAACGTATTAAATTGTCTTCCGATGTATAAAAAGAAAATTACACTGTGGTTTAGATTAGTAACCTTTCTTTTTGCTTGCCATTTTTTTCGGAGACTTTTTTTCGCGTGACTCAAGCTGGAGTGAATGAAACAAATAAATGAAATGACTTATTTATGGACTCGATATAAATTTAAAAAAACCATCTGAAATATTGACAATATTTTTTAGTAGTTTTTGATGAGCTTTAAATAAAAATTAATCACAGTAAAAAGAAGTAGTATTTGATAAAATTTTTATTTTTTTATTATTTTATCAGAATTATTTTTTAAATAATACTTGAAAGCATTTTACGATTATTATTTCTATTTTTCCTGAAAATGATAAAAAACAGAATATTGATTGAAACAATTTTATCATTTGTTCGATAAAAATACTTTCGTTCGCAATTAGTTATTAAATCATCAATAAAATTAGAGTTCTTGAGCTACACATCAGTTTATCATCAGAACCAAAATATTTATTATTTGATTATTGACTGAGATAATTATTTCATCAATTCAACTGATGTTACTAATAAATCTTATTATCTATCTATTTTTAGTAACACTGTTATAACTGTATTATTTTTTTCCATAGGCGAAACATTGAAAAATCTTAATGTGTTCCTACAATTTATATAATAAGCACATTATATATTGAATAAAAACCGTAACCTCGCTATGTCAACAACTAATAGAGATATCTTTCAATGCTATGATTAAATTTTTACGCC